CCTGCACAGGAGTGAAGTGCAGTAGTTCCAATCTTTAGGAATCAGTGTTTGCTAAGCAGACAAGCAGACTTGCAGTGCCTGTTTATTTCCTGGGCTAAGGAGTCTTTTACTTTATGCAATAATAAAGAATGTTTTCAAAGCCAAAAAATCCATTTATTGAAAAGAAACAAGGGGGTTGAGTGGGGAACAGTACAATCACAGATTCGCGTATCTCCTGTCTGGTGTGCTGTGCAGTGAGTGCTGCACTTCAGGACAGCTATACTGCATGGTGATGGGGGTTGAGTGCAGAGGGTAAGGGTCGTGGTTTTCAAGGCTGGGTGGTGAAGATACTGGTGTTGGAGGCAGCGGGTGGCGTGAAGAACACGGAAGTTGGGGAAAGTGGGTTGGAAGTGACAGTGGGGCACAACGGAAAGAGTTTTGGGACAAGGACTGTGGGGGGCGGGGGTGTCGTTTGTGCTTGCGGTACTGCTCCTCTTTCTTCATGGCTACCAGCTCCTGGATAGCATCTGCTTGGCTCTCTAGGATGCTTATGAGCCTATCGGTGCTTTGCTGTCGGTGCGCTGCATTTTCCTGGTGGATCCTGCTTTCTCTCTCCCTCCAGTTCTGTGCTTTCTCATTCTCTTTAATAGATTGCCGCATCACTTCTTGCAGAATGTCTTTTTTGCTTTTTCGCGGTCTCTTCCTGAGTCTTTGCAGTCTCTGAGCAGGCGATAAGAGGGATGGCTGAGGTCTCAAGGTTGATGCGGCTGTATAGGCAAAATGCAACATTTAACAGAGGCAGCATTGTTTATACCAGACAGAGTAATGATTCCCCCCCGCACTTAAGGAGTAGAAAACACACAGGGTATACACAATAGCATAATTTTCCCATCCGAAACAGAGCACACAAATCCCATGGGAGCCTCAAAATGGTGAGTAAGGGGGACTGATTGTTTCAGGGCTGCACTGTCCTCTGGGTTTCTGTGCCTTGGAGAGCCAACAGCTTCAGGGGGCACCTGAACACTGTCCCAACATTTTCCACAGGAGTTCGTCCTGGACGTTATCTCGCTGCTGAGGGTGACCTGGGAAGCAAGGGAGGGTCTTCTACTGCAATGCGGCTTCCACCCTGGCCCATATGCAGCTTGCCTGTGTGCAGCAATGGTCCCCCTGCCCCTCGCGGCACAGTGGCATGGACACGTTAGCCTGGCTGGGACAAGGACCACGGTGGCTCTCCCGATAAGCCTGCGCAAGCACATTGCACATGTTCTGGATGAGACATTCGAGGAGATTACTGAGGCCGATTACCGCAATGTGATAAACCACATCAGTGCACTAGTCCGCATATAAGCAAGCATGCCTAGCCCTCCTCTCCCAAAGAGCCTGCACCAAAAAAATTCCTTCCCAAAAAAAAAACGCTTACCGGGAACCTGCTCTTCTGTTTGCCCTCCACCAAGTACCGGCCGCTGTGACTGGCTACCTTCCTCCTGGCTCGAGAAGAGCTTTGGGCTGCATGGCTCCAGGGATTCCGCGGTGTCTCCATCCAGCCCACTACCATCACTCCCGTTTTCCTCCTCCTCCCCCCAAACACTGATGAGGTCCAGCAACTCGCCATTGCTCCATGCTGGGGCTCGCTTGGTGCATGGAGGCATGGTCACCTGGAAAGATTCGCTGATAGCACTCCACACCACGCCCGGCTGAGCAAACAGGAAGGGGATTTTAAAATTCCCGGGGAATGTAAAGGGTCGGTCACATGGTTGGTTACCTGAGGCCAGGGCAGTAGAGTTTGAACTGATGACCAGAGTGGCTAGAACAGGCATTGTGGGATACTGCCAAATAATTCTGGAGGCCATTCACAGCGCATTGGGCGGCCACACTAGCGCTGCAGCGGCAGCGCAATACTCACTATTCCTCTCGGAGAGGTGGAGTACATGCAGCGCTGCAACCACGGAGATACAGTGCCACAAATGCCTTGCCAGTGTGGACGGGGAGTGAGTTACAGTGCTGGGGAAGCCTTTACAGCGCTGTAACTCGCAAGTGTAGCCAAGGCCTAAAAAAAAGAGTAATTTTCCCTCTGCTGATACTCACACCTTCTTGTCAACTGTTGGAAATGGGCGACGTCCACCTTGATTGCATTGGCCTCGTTAGCACTAGAAAAGGACTTTTCTCTCTCTTGATATTCACCCCTTCTTGTCAACTGTTGAGAATAGGCCACTTCCACCTTAGTTGAATTGGCCTTGTTAGCACCAACTCTCCCCCACCTCCTCCCCCCACTTGGTAAGGCAACTTCCATCTTTTCATGTGCTGTAATATTTATACCACTTACTGTATTTTTCACTCCATGTATCTGACGAAGTGGGTTTTAATCCACGAAAATTTATGCCCAGATAAATTTGTTAGTCTCTAAGGTGCCACAAGGACTCCTCGTTGTTTTTGCTATATTAATGCTGCATCCAGAAGATAGTACAAAGTTACCCAACCTGTACAGAACTGATTTGCATTGACTCTTCCTCATGTACAGACTTGTCAGTACCTCCATCAGTAAGTCTGTCTTACTGTGTTCGTTCGGAGAATGTCCCTAGGACACATTGTAATTGCCTCTAAAGTATTTTACTTTGTGGGTGTTTGTATTGTTTGGTCCAGGATTAAGGCTACTTTTGGCTTGCAAGTGGCAGGATATTTCAAAATCTCTAAGAATTGAAATTACTTTTTGTGACTATAATCCAGGTGTGTGTGTGTGTGTTTCTTCTAAAGTTTTTTTTTTTTTAATCTCCTTGTTGGGTTTTTATGGAGTAATCTAATAATACGCGCTTCTTAGGGACAAAATGACCCATTTTCTGTTTCCATACATTTCATGAGCCAGAGAAGTCATACGAATATGAATCATATTGCTTAGAGACCTAGTACAAATATAAGAAGGAAATTTGAATGTGTTCAGTGAATTAATTCTAGAGGTCGTGCACCAACTTACAAGAGGACTGCCCTTATCGGATTCTCGTGCTTTGTGCAAGTTACACAAAACATTCATCTTTTTTACAAGAAATCCTATGGATATTTAGCATTCCATTTAGTTGGCTCAGGGACTTCAGTATTACCATCTGCAGATCCAGGCTGCTTGAGTGTGTGTTTGGTTTTTGTTTTTTTATTAAAAAAAAAAGTGTGATCCAGGCATTTTTCAAATTGACAATTTGTGTATAATTTTTAATACAAATGTGTTTTAAAATAGTGTGGCAGTCAGGGATTATTAACTTGCAAATTAAACTGGCTGATTCCGGGAACAGCAGCGAAGTTTGATTACAAAGTTGTAACAAAATATTAGAGCAGCCATTTCCCTCCTAAAACAAATTGACTATTTGCTGCTGCAAAACAATTCAAGTTTATTTTACTTCACACTGGCTTGGTTGGCAAGCTAACCTAACACTTAACCTTGTGGTAAAATGCCTTCAAATTATTCCTGCAGTGAAGACAAGTCCATAGTCTTGGGCATGCTCAAGTATTTCACTCCTCCCTCCTCCCACCCATTCTCCCAAGGCACTACTTGTATAGCTAACATCAACTAGGCCCCTTTCCTCTCCTCTGCCTGGCAGCTCAGTTTTATTGATTTGCTAAGTCATTTTGACTCTCCTTGTCTGTGCAGCAGCTCAACTCTTTGCTGCACTCCAGTTTAGCTCCTTTGGTCACTCTCCCTCTAGCAGCTCTATGCTACTGTGCCTGAAGTCATTCAACTTTCCGGCTTATACTTGTTGTAGGTCTCTGAGCAATATGATTTTTCCCAGCCTGGCTTGAGTTATGTTGGTATTCTAAAGAGTGGACAAAACGTCTACATTTGATGTGATGGGGAAGAGGAGCCAGTGGAGAGGCTAAACTTCTAACACTTGAAAAAATGCTTGAGAATTTGATCAGTGGTACAGCCAAGGTAAATTACAGAGGGACATGGAATTGGGAGAAGATTTAGTGGGTTAGTAACCAGTTTGATTACTGGAATTTGGAGTTTTAATACAAAGTCTCACTCAGTATCTATGGAAATTTTGAATGAATACTCGTTTATACATAAAATGTGGTTGTCAGATTGTTCAGTTTCAGACAGTCTACCTACCTGAGTTCCCTCTGGTTGTAAGCAGAAACTGAAACCTTACACTGTAGTATGTTGCTGTTAAAGTTTGTCCATTTGTATTCTGAAAACAAAACAAATTAATTTGTAACTGAAAAACTTCCTCTAGCATATTCAGGCATTTACTGAGGCTCTTGACATGTCAGAATTTGACTTTTAGGCTATCAGAGAAAATTTAGATAGAGGTTACTGAAACTTGGGAGTGCTAGAAGCAAATAGTATGTGTGGGTTCCCCTCCTCCCTCCCCCAATAACATTTGTGTATTGGCCTTTTAACTTGTGGAAGAAATGTCAAAGATGTTCCCAAAATGTTTCTTAAAGCTGAGCCAGAGTCTTCCGCTGCTTAAGAATGTATGAAAAAGAGAGCTTTGGGTTCTTTTAAGGTATTGGAAAAGAATCCAAATTTCCCTAAAGAAGTGTGTGTGCATGAATATAGCACTAATGAAAGCAAGGAACAGACTGTCATAACTTGTACTAGGTTTAGTGTCTCATGCAGTAGCTTATACCACACAACTTTATCAACTGTTGCCCATTCCTAGCTTAAAACACCCCTGCAATTGCAATTCCACGTTTCCTGAGCTGGCATGAGCATGTGTCAAATTCTACAGTGACTATTGTTACTGATATCTTGTTCACTAGAGACTAAAATGAGTCCTATTTATCTTAGGTTTTTAATCTAGGTCCCTACGGGTGGAAGAGTAATTCATTAGTGCACTATGTGACAAGGTCCCTTATGGTTCTGTTTTTTGGTTTTTAAAGATCTCAACAGTTTTCCTTCCTCATAAAAGGACCTGGATATCTCAAAGGACTTGTAGTATTAAGTTACTAAAAAGTAGACTAATAGTTGGTAGGTTGCAGCTTGAGCTCTTGTGTGTTGAAGCAGACATAATTATGTCTGTACTTTCTTTTGACAGACCAAAGAGAACACTGTATAGTAAAAAGTATGGAGTGGACCTAATCAGATACACACATGCTGCCAACACTGTGGTGTACAGCTCCAACAAAATAGACGGTAAGTGACCATGTTTAATCTTTCTGCACTTAGATGGCACACTCAGATAAACCATAGTGGAGGGCTGGGGAAAGCTTTGGTCTTGACTGACATGAATGGGCTCATTTTTAGCAACCTCTAGGACGGTGGCAAACAGACATGTTCATCTTTAAAGTATAACTCAGTCATTCCCTAACATATAATGACCTATTGTTGCTAATTATAGTTCCCCTTTGCTATAATAACCAGAGTTAACATGATTTAATAGTTGAAGGGAGATGAGTTCTATTCTTGACTCTGTTGTTGACTGGCTGTTTGATATTGGTCCAATCATTTAGCTTCTCTGTGACTGTTTCAAATAAGCATGTTTACTACCTTATTAGTGAAGCTTTGAATAGTTATGCCTTGAAAATTGCCATTGTGAAGATTTCCTCCCCCCCCCCCCCCTCAGTGACTCCACAGCAAATGATGTTCAAGCTAACATTTTAAAAACTGGTGTGTGTGTGTTTGTTTTTCTTTCGGACAGCCTTTCAAATTCAATTTGAGATCAGGAGGCAAACTTTGTTCTGGCTAGTGCTTCATCACTGATTAAGATTCAGTATCTGGAACTTAGTTAACAATTCTGTGGGTTCCATTCCGGCTCATGCAAGTGTGCTCTTATAGCTGTGTTGGCTTTGCAGTACCAGCAGGAGTAAAGAGTAGCTTAACAAAAGAATTGTCAAAGCAAGTAGATGACTCAAAACAATAGGTAGCATTTCTATAGTATCTTTCACCTCTATATCTCAAAGTGCCTTACAAAGATAGGGATGTATTTATTCTCCCCATTTGTACAGAATGGAGGGCAGGAAACTGAGGTGACATAGCAAATCACTAACTAAGCCTGGTGTAGAACACATCTCTCCTGCGTCCAATCTTGGGTTTGTCCATTACCCCCTCTGCTTTCCCAGTATAATATGCATGAGCAACCCATCTGTTTCAAAGTGTTATTTTTTTCCATAGTCATTTTTCATCATAACTGCATTTCATAATCTTCAATGAATTAAAGTTGCTTTCAGAGCCTGGGGTGAAAGGGTTAGTTGGGTGTTCAAAAGTTTTGATTTAATTCATCAGCTCCCACAGGTACACATTCTTTCCTCAGCAAAGTGATTCTTCTTCCCTGTGTCAGAAACAGCTGGTGTAAATGGCTGTGCTGTAATGTCAGGAATCCTTGGAGAACTTCATTCTTGGTGAAGTTCCCATTCAATTTTCTGATCCTCCTATAGCTTTCTCTCATGGTTACAATTTATTTTGTGCACTTACTGACTGTCTCATTGTAATGATAGTGTTTTAATTTTGTATCCGTCTCCATTGTGGTATCATTCATTGAGAGAAGCTCTGACTCAGTGGAATATTTGTTTAGTTTCTTTAAATCCATTTTATTAAGGTGGTATTTGTAATTTGATGGTTTGAAGTTGATTATCATTTTGTAAGTGTTTTCCTTTTGATTAGCTTTTAAAGCAAATACACTGGTGATAGAAGTGGATTAAAAAATATTACTGGTATTTGTACTGCAAGTAATTGTAAACTGGCCTGAGAGAACTGGCATGCTTCCCTCCTGTGGTGGTCCATATGCTGGTCCATACTCTGCATAGTCCCTAATGAGTGAAACTATGGGCAAGTGTACAGGATGTTAACTTTTCAGGATGTTGCTTTTACAGAAAGAAGGGTGAAATGAAGCCATTCCTTTACTGTACAAATGCTGGTATTTGCACACAAGTACATATATGCCTCTGAATTGCTTCTGATCCAGTTCTTTCTGAAGGGTTCCTCAAGAGCTTCAAACCTGGTTCTTCTTGCCTAATTCCAGGCTGAGGTAGTAGTTTGTACAGTTTGAGGGTCTATGATACCACCCGGTACAGGAGATAACTGTACAGGCCACTGCCTTGCCTGGGACAGAGCACTGTCGGCTAAAAGGATCACCCACTTATGCTTCACAAACGGTTTGTATTTAGCAGAGGAAGGTGAGATTCCAACTGCATTCTTCTGAAACAAGTAACTGCAGTTTTTAGCAGAAAAACTAGGAATATACGCTAAATTTGCTGTGTAAAGGCGGGTAAGTACTAACAATAATGGGATGTAAAACTGATGATTTTGGTGGATTGACTTATGGCATTTGATAATCATCTGGAGGTACTCAGAGGAGAAGAAGCCTCTCAGAATGATGCATCAGTCTGAGCTATTCATGCTTGGTCACAAAGTTACCCTTAAATTTCTCTTGCCAAACTCTGGGGGACTGTACAGAATTCTGACCTCAGCTGACTCAATGGAAAATCTTTGTCAAGAATTGATGGATTTGAGGGATTTTCTACGTAACATGTATTCTACAGAAAAAGGCATTTAGAAAAATATTCTAGCCTTCCAGATGTCAAGAATGTTCCCCATAGATTACAAACTCATTACCCTCACCCTGCCTTGCAGAAAAGTCATTTAGTCCGCCAGCTAGTATTGCAATAACAAAGGTGAAAACAGAATTTTCCACGTTTACCTTAATTTGGTATTGATTTCGCAGTCTCAGCACCACTTGTCGATGTAACAGTATTGAACATGTCAACCTGAATAAACACTCAACAGGTGTCAAAGCTTAAAAAAACCAAAACACAAAAAACCTCTGCTTTGGTTTCCTATAACATCAGTCTTTTTGTCCATCTATATTTCTAAAACAGGGTGTATGTAAGAAAGAAATTGGTAGGGAGTTTTCTGTCTTTCTGTCTTTCTTTCTCCCCTAGTAACAGTTTACTGCTGATGTTGGAGGCTTAATTTGGTCGTCTTTGCACGTCTCCATTCACAAATGTATGTGCAAGTAAAAGTGGTTCATATTCTCAACACTTGTACTCAAGTGGCTTATGTTAGAATCATAGAATATCAGGGTTGGAAGGGACCTCAAGAGGTCATCTAGTCCAACCCCCTGCTCAAAGCAGGACCAATCCCCAACTAAATCATCCCAGCCAGGGCTTTGTCAAGCCGGACCTTAAAAACCTCCAAGGAAGGAGACTCCACCACCTCCCTAGGTAACGCATTCCAGTGCTTCACCACCCTCCTAGTGAAATAGTGTTTCCTAATATCCAACCTGGACCTCCCCCACTGCAACTTGTTCTGTCGTCTGCCACCACTGAGAACAGCCGAGCTCCATCCTCTTTGGAACCCCCCTTCAGGTAGTTGAAGGCTGCTATCAAATCCCCCCTCATTCTTCTCTTCTACAGACTAAACAATCCCAGTTCCCTCAGCCTCTCCTCATAAGTCACGTGCTCCAGCTCCCTAATCATTTTTGTTGCCCTCCGCTGGACACTTTCCAATTTTTCCACATCCTTCTTGTAGTGTGGGGCCCAAAACTGGACACAGTATTCCAGATGAGGCCTCAACAATGTCGAATAAAGGGGAACGATCACGTTCCTCTATCTGCTGGCAATGCCCCTACTTATACAGCCCAAAATGCCATTAGCCTTCTTGGCAACAAGAGCACACTGTCGACTCATATCCAGCTTCTCGTCCACTGTGACCCCTAGGTCCTTTTCTGCAGAAAATTCTGCAGAATTCTTTTGATCGGTGGTGAAAAATCTCAATAGAATCTTCCAAAAGAAAAAAATGCTGTTAGTACTGCAGTCTATATTCAGTGAAGGCCACTTAAAAGAATTACTGATTTCAGAATACTGTGATCAGTTCTGTCCCGTGCTATATTATGTTTTTATAAAGAAATTGCTGTTAGATGAAAAGGATCTTTTCTTCTCTTCTCATCACCTATTCCTCCTTTACCCCCCAAAGCGTTTTCCAGTTTGGAAGAGGTGCAAAGAAAGCACAAAGGCAACAAAATGTTTGGTTTAAAAAAAAAAAAAAGTCCCTCCGTCTGAGGAGTTTGGTTTTTAATGCCTGTGCTTAGTTGTTAGTATTTAAATGGTCCCAGCCTGGCTTTGACATTCACATCTCAGGCTATGTCTAATCTACAGCCTATGCCAGCAAAACTTATGTCACTCGGTGGTGTGAATATTCCACACCCCTGAGCAGCATAAGTTATACCACCATAAGAGCTAATGTGCACAGTACTATGTCGGAGGGAGAGCTTCTCCTACCGATATAGGTTATGACACCTCTTGGAGGTGGGCTTTTTTTAATGCCGACGGGAGAGCTCTCTCCTGTTGGCATAGAGCGTCTTCACCAGATGCTGTATATATAGACATGGCCTCACTATCGTTTTGAGTGGCAGAGTTCACACCTTTGCAGTGGTTATTTAGCTGGAGACAGTTCTTCCTGCATGGCTGCATTAACAGGACTATGGCATTTGCATGATAAATCTATACTCACTTTCCAACTGGAAATGCTGGCACCAACTTTTAGAAAGCTGTAGTTTTGTGAGAAATGCTTGAGTAAAAACTTGACAGTTACTTGATTTTTATTTTGCTTCAGTAACTTTGGAGCAGAGAACTGTATGCCTCATGGCAATTCATTTACACTATGTGAAATATTCATATTCTTTCCAGACCATTGGGAACATCCTGACTAGATCTGCTGTTTCGTTTTTCTTCCGGACTGTTTGGTTTCAGTTTCTCATTCAGTTGATCCCATTTTAACATCCCTCTTGAAGACAAAGCAGACCATCGTTGCTATCTGTTGGAGAAGGTTTATTATATGATATATGCTTATGTATTTCTTATATTTTCTTGCAGATACAATCCGTTACCTCTCCCTACATGATAATAAATACATCCGATACTTTCCAGGGCACAGCAAGAGGTAAGAGATGTGACAAGGGGACACTTTGGTGATCAAGATCTTGGTGGCTATGAAACAGAACAAGAGAGGCTAAAGCAGTGTTGTAATAAACCTAAACCATGTTAGACTGAATTCACTTTACTTCTCATGCCATAAAAAAATGTTAAGTATTTTGAACTTGTGTGAAGCCAACAGGTTAATAGTTACATTGCTAACTTTCTTGCATACCTGTGTAATACCTGATATAGCTAATCTTCTGTATTGCAGAGTGGTTGCCCTGTCCATGTCTCCAGTGGATGATACCTTTATTTCTGGATCACTTGATAAAACCATCCGACTTTGGGATCTCCGGTCTCCAAACTGCCAGGTGGGATACCAAATTCACTTGCCTGTCTGCTGACAGTTGTCATGAAATGTGCAAGAAAGAGTTTCTAGTTTGAAATGATGAAAAATGGGTTGTAGATTAAATAGGTGGTCTGGTTTTTATACTATCATGAAGTATTTCTTGGTCCCTACCAGCATCTCCTGGAATTCAAAAGAAGTCACCTCAGGCAGAATCCCTCTTTAGATTTGTGCATACACGGTATCCTCACTCACTTTCCTCCAGGGTCCTATCTTGGGGAAGAGCTGGAAAGGCAAGAAAACAGCAACTTCTGGAGCTGATGAAACAAGATGCTAGTTGGATGTTGTTAGCATATTAATGACACTGTAGCCTCAAACAGCCTTCAGTCTTCGCTAGAAGTCTCCCATGTACCTTGGAATTAGTGGTGACAGAATGGGATCCCTTACTTGAGTACTCTGGCTTTTTGTTTTAAAATGAAAAACATTAAGCAGTTAAATACAAAAGCAGACTTAGAGCCACGAGGATTTCAGGGTTTCCCAGCTGTGTTAAACTTAGTGAAGCTGAAAGATTCACCCTGTGTTAACACTGCAACTTTGTCTATGATAATCCCTTACTGTTTCAAGTGCTGTGCATGTTATAACTAATTTGACAATTATCCAAAATGCTGTCTAAAACTTACTATAACATTTTATATTTATTAACATCTCTGGTTATTACCAGTTACCTCCATTATGCTGTACTTCTGGTTTCATAGTAAAATGCCTCCAAAGCAGAAACTTGAATAGGCCTTCTCATAAAATGAATGCTGAAAGTACCTGGCATTCACACAGCTTGACTCTTGCAGTGTTTGTGGTGTTGAAAAATGCTTGTGGATGAGGCTGGCAGGTCCTAAACATGCCTCCATTCTCACTGGGAGCACAGAGAGAGACAGTCACTGATTCATGAGGACCAGCTGTAAAGCACAAATTGAAAACTTCTTTTTTTTTTTTTTTTTACACACAACATAGTTATACCTGCCTAAGAAATAAGCCCTTTAATCCAGAAACCTCACTTTTCTTTGGTAGTGTGCATGTTGGTAAGAGCCTCTTGCTTTCTAAACTTTAGCTTGGTCTTCATGGGAAGTCAGCAGATGCTGCTGACATGACATTGTTATCCACATCTCACTTCCATTCTATGTGCGACTTTATGTAATTTTGACATTGTAATAATCTTAGTCTTAGGGAAGACTGGTAAACTATCTCTTTAAAAGTCTAATTTCCCCTGTTTTGCAGGTTTATGCAGAGGGCTTGTCTAAACACAATGTTGCATCAGTTTAACTAAATCGATGTAAGAGTGTCCACTAAGCAAAAAGAACAGGAGTACTTGTGGCACCTTAGCTGTAGCCCACGAAAGCTTATGCTCACATTTCTCTAAGGTGCCACATGTACTCCTGTTCTTTTTGTGGATACGGACTAACGCGGCCGCTCCTCTGAAACCTGTCACTAAATAAAGCTGCACTAGGTTATCTAAGTTATTTAATGTAACACCTGTAGTCAAACCACTGCAAAGTTTGTGCAGAGTGAGAGAATTTGTCCCTTACTCTTATGCTAATCCTTGTGTGGGAATCTGATCCCTTTAGTTTAACAGTTTTTGCCTCTAGCTTTTAGAAGGTTTGGTTTTGTGTTAAATCAGCATAGGTAGGCAGTGACTGTGTTTGTCAGAGCTGCACCTGGGTGCTCATCTTCCTGAATGGTCAGTGTTTTAGCTCCACAACCTCCAGCCCTGTGTTGCCATCACTTCCAGCACGAGTGCTCTGTGAAACTCTCAAAGTGATAATTGTTACCAATACAAGATGCGTCTCCCTTCTCCCACAGAATTGCAGCATGTTGCCTCTGCAGCACTCCTTGTTCTGGTTGGTTACTTCTGTTCTTGTGATGCACGTTTCTTTCCCATAAGACATGTAGGTGGGTGTTGAGCAGGGGGTGTATCTGAATTGTTTTCCTAAATTTCTTCAGCAGTAATTTAGACCAGTCAATTCCTTCCTCCCAGAAGCAATTGGATTATTTCACCTCAATAGTGAAGTTAATGTAAAGTCTTTCTCATCTCTGTTCTAAACCTTCTAACTTTAGAATGCATTAAATTGACTAACCTCTTAGGATTGTCCTTTTCACGGTGTCCCATAATCATCACATGCCTCTAGGGATGAGTTGAGGCCATGTATTTAGTTCCTCATACCCTTTCTGGATGGATGGCCACTTACCACTTCTCCAAACTTTGTTCATACTCCATGTACAGAATTGAGAGGCTAATGCCAGTGTGGGACATGAGAAGCCACCTTTTGAAAGATTCTTAATAAGACTGAAGACTGACAACTGAAAACCCAGCTGTTCTACTAGCAGACTGCCCTGCTGGATCTGTGCACGGCTGAGGGAGCTGTCAGGAATGGACTTTGGGAATACAGGCATATGCACTATTTGAATTCATATTTAACTGTTGTCCATGTTCTAGGGTTTAATGCATCTTCAGGGGAAGCCTGTATGCTCCTTTGACCCAGAGGGGCTGATTTTTGCTGCTGGAGTCAATTCTGAAATGGTGAAGCTGTACGATCTCCGCTCTTTTGACAAGGTAAGAGACAAGCTAGATGCATTTCTGACATTTTATAGCTTACAAGAAATAGCATGTAAACCCTGGACTTGGAGCATCCCCTGAAACATCTTAGCATGTGCTACAGCCAGCAGCACCAAGGAGATAATACTTAATATATGAAGAGAGCTGTGTATAAGAGTTTCTTGTACAAGTAGGTGCCACCACCAGATCCTTAAATCCCATTTTGGACCTACCTCTAAATTAATTCTAGCCAGAGAATTATTAAAATCTGAGTCCCCAGATCAACTTCTTGCAAAAAGCATTTGTCCTGGGTTATGTCCCGTCTACTGACCCAACCACTTCTCACCTTCCTATCTCTTCCTCTCAAACATTTGCTCTCCCAACATGTTTTGTCCCCTATCATATGCCTTTGCATCTTAGTGCTCCCCCACCAACATACTCAGCACTGAACTATACTCAGTTTCCTTAAACTCTTTCCTGCATCATTTGGGGTCTTTGATAACAGTATCTCCAAGACTGGTTATGAATCTGGTCCACCTTCTGAGGTTCAGGCTATGCTGTTACCCCAGAAGCCAGGCACATTGCTACACAGAGTGGGGTCTGAAGCACAATCTACCAGTGCACAATCCACTTGTTCTCTGTCTTCTGCCCCAGGAGAACTGGCATCAGAGACTAGACAGAGGACTTGGGAGCAAGCCTATGGGGTATCATCACTGAGGAGCTAAATGGCATTGCTACCTTTATGCTGATGATGCCTCTGGGTGTAGGGAGGCTGATAGGAGTCAGGTGGGAACCCATTTTTCAGGCTTCCTGTAACACGTGGGAAGCAGCAGTTAATGTTTCTTCCTCCTTGCTGACTGTGCTGTCTAGGTCAGGTGGACCTAGCAGCAACATCAGAGAGAGAAGGAAAATTGTAACTGGACAACAGTAGTTGCAAACAGGCGGAAAACATCTGTTTTTTGGATGAGAGCAACAGCTGATGCTCCAGCCCTTAGTTTAAATTATGGTTTGGGGGCCTTGTTAGCAAATGGCCACTATATTGTACCTTAAATCTGTCCCTGTATAATCAGATGTAATGTGAGAATTGATTCTTCTCTCTGGTGACTGTAGTGGTGAACCAGATGTTTGTTCACTGTCATTTCCTTTATGGTGGTGAAACCACAAGTTTCCTAAACATCCTGTTGTGGTTTGGTTGCTATTGGAGATGACAGAATCGTGGCATGTCAGAACACTGCTGCATCACAATATGACAGGTGGTTGCTTCTCTTCCCTGCCACCCTTTGCGTGGCAGCTAGTACTGGATTGTTCAATATCAGTCTGGTTTGTTTCCTTTTAGGAATCTAAAATGTTTTCCTATGCTGGAGATAGATAGATATAGATATAGATAGATAGATAGATATAGATATATTTATTTTTTTTTACCAACAAAGTTAAATGTTTGGGTGCACATGCATACAAATCATTTCCCCCCACCTTATTTTTTTTTTTGAAGGGTCCATTTGCTACATTCAAGATGCAGTACGATCGAACCTGTGAGTGGACAGGCTTGAAGTTCAGTAACGACGGGAAGCTCATCCTCATATCAACCAATGGAGGGTTCCTTCGACTGATTGATGCCTTTAAGGGAGCTGTACTGCATACGTTTGGGGTGAGCATGCTGTCTTGGTTGCCTTCTTGGAAATTGCTCTGTCTTTGCTACGTCCTTGTCAGGGATGAGATGATGTGGGATTATTAGCTTGGAGGATAAAACACCCCAGTTCCATGTATTCCAGGGGCAGGTCTCTTGGAGCTGCCTTCCAGCTGCAGTAATAGAGATAGCTGATGCCCTGTGGATGAGACAAGTGTTAAGGAGAGGGCTTCTTTACTAATTTTCTGCTTATTGGTCCCCTGATTTATCTTGGGCCTTGTTTACACTACAAAGTTAAGTCAACTTAAGTTTCATGGACGTACAGCCATTTCTGTAATTAAATCACTGTTGCACGTCCACACTATGCTCCTTGTGTCAATGGAGCACATCCACAGTAGCAACTCTTCTATCGACAGAGAGCAGTGCACCGTGGGTAGCTATTCCACTGTACAACTGGTCACAAGGTGTCTTAGGAAAGGGTTTGCAATGCCTCTTGGGGGGGCAGGTTCAGCATTACATGATGCAGGTTTTTCAATCCCATCATTCCATGGGTATTCAGTTGCCCTGGTAACTTGCAAGCCAGCCATCTCTGTCAGAAAGCATGGACCCTGAACTGCTGTGAGGTTAGCTTGGGTGTGGAATAAAAAAAATCTATCTATGTAATGTTGAGGTAAACTTCATACATGCAGGGGAAAGTATCTTTAAAGGGGAGGGAACAGGGATTCACAGGGACATACACCAACGAGGCTCTCGCAGCTGCATGACTGTGAGGCTGTCATTGTGTTTAATCTCCTGCGGGGTAGTGTGCCTTGGATACTGCTGTGGTCCTGGAAGATATATGGAGCATGTATAGAAGTGGCTCTGCATCAGAGCAACTGTTTGCCTCCCTTGCTTCTGGTATGCCTGCCACAGCTCTTTGATTTTTACAAGCCCTTCTCCAGGCCCCAAGCAATCTGGCTGTAGATGTCAAAGTTCCTAAGGCTGGAGTGGAGCTGTGACTGCACAGCCTCCTTTCCCCACAGACCAAGGTGATCCAGCACCTCCTGTGTACTCCAGGCAGGAGCGCGTTTGCTGTGTCGGGCCGGCATGGTCAACTGGGCAGTTCCTGTTGGAGAGCTCTCATAGAAAGAACAAGTTCAAAACTTCCTGGGGCTTTAAAAGGGGAGGAAGGGCATGCCTGTATACCTGGCTGCAGGGCAGTAGAGGTCAAAATGGTGACTAGACCAGTCATGGCAGGCATTGTGGGACATGTCTTGGAGGTCACTTAAGTTGAAGTAAGCAATGCAGCATCTACGCTGACACTGTGTCGCTCTAACTACGTTGACCTAAGCTTCAAGTCTCTCATCAAGGTGGTATTATTAGGTCGGCATAGGAGGTGTGTTGAAGCGGCGGGAGGAGCATTGTAGTGTGTACACCTCCCGAGTTAGGTTGATGTAATCTGCCTTATGTCAGTTTAACTTTGTAGTGTAGACAAGCCCTTAATCTTGGCTCACTTGAAAACTTCTCTCCCTCTTCCCTTTTAGAAATTACTTGTGATATTTAACTCCCTTTAATGGAGCTTTCAAAGCTCTGCTAATGAGGGGAAAGTGTTTGGTTTAGTACCTTGATAAATTATTGCCCACTCCTAATCCTTACATCTGTGCTCTGTCCCCTCCTGTGGCACTTGGAGGGCTTTGCATAGTACAGTCTGTAATGCTTGGGGGAGGGGCTCCTGTTCTTCAGCTAGAAGAATGATTTGACATGTCCCCTTGCCACAGGCTTGAAGGCATTTAACTTCTTTTGTATTGTAGGGTTATAACAACAGTAAGGCTGTCACGTTGGAGGCATCATTCACACCAGATTCCCAGTTCATAATGATTGGTAAGATATCCTTACCCCCTTGTAGCCTGCAATTGTGGGTCTTACTACAAGGCAATTTGAGTGCTGTGAAACTGGGTATTGATATAATTAAACTGAAAGTTGGTTTAAAGGCTGCAAGAGGCTATTTTAGGACTTACAAAATGCTTTCCTCACTTTGCTGTGGGAGATACTTACAACGCTCTCAAAATTCTGTCATTTCAATACCGTATACTTTAAGGTTTAATTTAGTAGGTAGGTCTGTTGTCCCTGTTTCCCACTGGCCAAGTGTCCACATCACATATTACCACTACAGCTGACACTAATTCATAGCTTGGCTGGCAATCTCAGCCAAGAGGAAGAATAGAAAGGGCTACCGACTGAACTTCCCTCTTACTGTCACCCCCAAGAGTTGGTCCCCTCAGGCTGCTGTTGAGATGGATTGGCAGAGCAGCATGGGTAAAGTTGTGTGTAGTAGGAAAAAGCAACTGAAGTAGTTTAGAATGTTGCAGCCTCCCTCCATCCTATCTGCAGACTACATTCTTTACCTTTTTGGGCTACCTGTGTACTGTAATCTGTGCAGTATCAGCTGGGATATCCTAGGATACACTGCCCCCAGTGAATGTAAGCTGAGCTGCAAAACGAGTCCACCATCTCCACATTCATATTCCTCGTAAAGATCCTCCTTACAGTGATGATTACAAAAAACTAAGTGGCTGATATGGCTAGACTGAAGGTAGTTCTGGATAATCTATATACTACACGCACAGTTATAACACTGCATTATTAACTTACTGCCCAACATGGCCAATTTTTTTCTCTCTCTCTCTCTATCATATAGAGAGCTGCCTCCCCCACTACCTTCTTTCAGTTCATGTATACATGAAACTACCCTGTATACTTTGGATATACTAATGTTGAAATCTAGCTGGTCATCAGTAACCTGCCCATAAGTTCTTCTTAATAACTAAAGTTAAATCTAGGATGGTATTTCGGTCTCTCAGGAAGGACCATGCTCGTGGTGGTTCTTTATTCTGGTGGATGATTTCCCTTCTGATCCTGCAGGCCCTCATTTTATCCTCTGGAGACAGCTCCGTTCTGCATGTTTTACCCTTCTTGCCAGGAAACATCCCTTCTCTAACTCTTTGGTATCCGCAGTCCTCCTGCTGTTGGACAGATTCACTTCTTTCTCAACTTTTGCATTATTCTGGAGTTTAGCAGTTGTAGGGACATTTTTTTCCATTTTACTTTGTGCAGTTTGACTAATTTACCCTGGGTGCCCACTTAGTTTCTTTCCTGAAAAGCCCATACAGACAAAAAGGAAACAGAAAAAGCCTTCTTCTTTTTAGGGATTTTGTTAAAAAGTCAGGATATCTTATATAAAAGAGGTTATACCAAAGACTAAAATATTTTTGGAAAGAGGTCAATTTTAAAAATTCAGGGTGTCCCATTAAAATGGAAATTTGTAGACTTCTGCTATAAAAACATATATTTAGTAGTGATGAGAGTTGAAACATCTTTAACAAGCTTGGTCATTCACATGTAGCGTAACTCACTGAAATCTGGTTTACCATACCCTTTGATTATTCGCAGACTGCACAATTTTCAGTGACTAGATTGCACTTCTATTGCCTGATTTTTCAGCAAGCCGTTGTGCACGTGTGAATCTTGGATTTGATTCTGCATGTAACTAGTAAGATGCTTACCTTGCTCTGTGTATGAACTGGGAATTTGTGCAGATGAATACTTTATGCATGTACTTGGAAGATGGAATAGATACATGCACAGCTTGCTGAAAACCAGGCCTTTAATGATCTGCAAATTGCAGGATTATAATCAGATGGCTTTTAGGATGCCATTGAGTTTTATTTAGCACTCCAGCTACCTTTTAACAATGCCTTTTATCCTCTGATGTTGGTCTTCAAGCCATTAATGTGCATAGCAAAGCTCTTTCCTTTTGTAGTGCTGGTCTACACTAGAAAATTAGGTCAACCTCGCTATGTTGCTCAGGGGTGTGAAAAATCCACACACCTGATCAATATCGTTAGGCCGACCTAAATCCCCGTGTAGACAGCACTAGGTGAATGGAAAAATTCTTTTGTCGACCTAGCTACCGCCTCTCAGGGAGGTGGATTACCTACGCCCATGGGAGAAATCCCTCTTGTCGTCATAGGTAGTGTTTACACTGAAGCACTACATCGGTGCAGCTGCTACTGTACCACTAGCGTTTTAAGTGTAGGCAAGACTTCACTCTGCTAATGCCAGCTGTCATCTTCTGCGGAATGAGATGGCTTGTTGGGCTGCATCAGGCTTGAGTATAAAAAGAGTTATTCTGATCAAATCCATATACTCCCTCTTGGTAGCTATACCCCCACAACAAGTTGGGGTAAATTCTCCCTTCAGACTTGCAGGTACAAATTCCGCTGACTTTGAATGGCGTTCTGTATGGGAAGCATTTGGGCCTGCAGCCTTTTTAAAAAGCTGGCAATCGGAGATTGATTCCTGTAGATCTGATAGCTCTCTTCTGGTGTCTCCACTACACTTTACCAGTGATACTTTGACATTCTGTCCACTGTGTTGGCCTTTTATACGTATTATGTCTTCTCCAACCCACAGGTTCAGAGGATGGAAAAATTCATGTCTGGAATGGGGAGAGTGGGATGAAGGTGGCTGTGTTGGATGGGAAACACACAGGTCCTATAACCTGTCTGCAGTTCAATCCCAAATTCATGACCTTTGCCAGTGCATGTTCCAACATGGTAAGAACACAAGTCCATCCTTTTCAGCCTAAGGGTCAAACACCTTATTTCTGGTAGGTCAGTGAGCCAGAATTAATATTGAAGTAGATTCTCTGCCCTCTTCTATTCCCTCAGTGGCTTGAGCATTGGCCTGCTAAACGCAGGGTTGTGAGTTCAATCCTTGAGGGGGCCATTTAGGGAACTGGGGTAAAAATCTGTCTAGGGATTGGTCCTGCTTTGAGCGGGGGGTTGGACTAGGTGATCTCCTGAGGTCCCTTCCAACCCTGATATTCTATGATTCTATTCCCTTTGCGCTGCTCAGTGCCAAAGGAGTGGAAACCACCCACAAGTCCCCTGCTGAGGGAGTGCCCAGCCATGCATATGCTTCCCTTCTCACAGCCCCTGGTGCAGAAGTTGTGCTTGAGGCTGGGGGCATTGGGGGAGTGGCTGGTCTTCAGAATTTTCTAATTCTTCTCTCCTGGGTTGCCCTGGATGTCTCTGTGGGAGAGGGTAGTTATCCTTTGCTAGTCCTCCCCTAAGCTCAGGAAGAGCCAGTCCAACTTGCATCCTGCCCTCCCTGTGATTCCCACAGTGTGGCAGTACATTGGGGACAGAAAGGAACAATGTATATGAACACATTGAGAACAAGCAGTGCATGTGCATGCACACAGAAAGATGGGCTTTTTCACACCACCATAATATGGCTGACATTTCATGATCCTCCATCATAAACACTGAGAGCTTTAAGGTCCTGTTCATGTTCAGTCTTAGGGGCTTGCTAGGAAGTAGAGTTCTTAACAGTCTAGGAAGGTATGGGAGGACTGCTAGGCCTGAGCATGCCCATGTATTGTGTGTAAGATATAGAATAAGCAGTTGTCTTTGGCAGCATCAGCTTGACATGCATCCCAGTCCAAGCAGGGATACTAATCCTGAACTGCTGGTAGCATGTATCAGATTCCTTGGCTTGCTTTGGGGCTTACTGGGTGAGGAATTTCAGATGCCTATTCTAGCTCCATGCTTACATTTTCTTCTTCTTCTTTTAGGCCTTTTGGTTGCCAACCATAGATGACTAATTCTGAAACCACAATGCCCACTGGGTGGCTTCCATACTGTTAATAGCAGCGTGTTCTTGCGTTGGTGTTGGAGCTGCCTACTTCTCCTGGACTGTATGTTCTCATCCATCATACCCACATACGTTCCTGTATGTCTTTTATTTGCTGCATTCCTTCAGAAGGACTCCTTCATTTGACCTCCGAGAGTTTGATCCTGCTGTACCCAGAAGCTGGGTGCAACATGTAGCTACTTTCCAGTCAAAGTCCAATAGGTTCCAGCAGAACTTGTAACTGGCACAGTGTTACTTTTGAGAATGTGGCAGAGAAATAACGGAAAGTCTGATTTTTATGAAGTTTGCTGCAGTCTCTAAGATGTAATTGTGTTTTGTTCTCTTACTGTAAACACACAAGGCTACAGACGAACTGCGGTGGGTGCCTGGGATGTGCAATTCTGTCCCGCACCTGCATGTTTATCACGCCTGGGATCTCTACAGTGTCACTATTGAATTCTACAAATACAAACTTCATTTGTGCCAAATACAAGCAGACTGACTGTTTTTAACCCAAATGTCAGATGCACAGAGATTTCTTTTGCTATCGAACACTTGGGCAAAGGCTGCATATTCGCATCATGGCATCCATCATCCATTTCTGGTGGTCTAGTGCCTGGCAGACCATACAGGTTTTGCCTGCTGGCAGAGAAAGCTTGAAGCAGCCTCTGTGCCATTCATCATCCCAACATCCAAGGCACACAGAGTACTGAAGAGGTCTGGTGGGCATCCCAAGCAATAAAGGAGTCTGTCAGCAGGAAGATGATTAAAACAAAGACTGAAACTGCAGTAGTCTCCAATACATCTTCCTTCTGTATCATCTTTGCTGATCTTACTTGTAAATATTATGGGGGGAGGATAGTAGGGAGGGGTCATATTTTTTTACTTTTAGGTATTAAAGAGTCTGATGTGGGCCAGTATTGTGGGATGAGTTCAGGCTGTTTACCTTCCATTGATGCAGCTTTCTCCTCCTGTTCTGTAAATAAGTCCATTAAATTCTCCCCAAACTGGGTCCAGGCCTGTATCCCTTTTGTTAGTAATATTCCACACACAAGATTTTATTCCATTATGCATTTACTCACACATTGTGCAAGTTCTCAACAATTGCTTAAAAGACTGTGGCTCACCTAAAGTCGGATGGGTGTTATCCAAAGCCAAATGGAGAATTTGAGATGTCTATCTGATATCCCTTTTTTTCTTGTATTTTGCCCTGGCATTTCTGTAAAGAATGCCCTTGCAGAAGTATTATACCTCTGTTGGATATACTGCACTCTGCTGTCCATTTTTTGGGCAATGCAAAAAGTAAACCAAGTCTACCAGCTGGTATTGTTCCACTTTCTTTCTTTTCCTAAGTCATCACATTGTAAAATTGGTCTGAGGCATCTCCATTAGCACGATGAGAAAAGTACAATGTACATGGAGCTATGCACTGTGCTCTCATCTTAACCAAATACTTGCAACCTAGAGGCTGAGCATACAACCTAGGTACATTTGCTTGGAAAATCCATTCTTTGTCTCCTGCTGCTAACCCCACCCTCCCAAAAATGCAAGAGACTGTCAAGGTGGCAATCTGAACAGGGAATAGGCTGATCCTGGATGCCATTTTAGTGTCCCCTCATACCTGAAAATAATTTGTTACACCTCTGGTAATCGTGATCTTGATGCTCCATGTTGTGTAGTTTACATCTCCACTGTAGGGCCTTGCATCTAATGCAGAGCATGTTCCACTGGAATAATGTATGGGTTTGTGGTACAGCCCACCCCTTTCTCTGCTCCACCCTTGCTTGTTACAACTGTTAGCATAACACACACTTCCATAAGCAAGGGCTAGGGGTGTAGAATGGGTTTCTCGTCACTGCCAGTCCCATTTGCGGTATTAGTGCATGTTGCGCTGCAGCTTTATCTATGACAGACACTCTGTACGTCATCAAAAGGTCTGCTGTGCATGAGACAGTCTGAGAAATTGTTTGAATCTATGTGACTAAAAAATGCTGTTTAGACTCTGTGATGTGCCTCTGTGCTAATTATACTGTACATGTTTAAAGCCAATTCTATGGTGTGTTCTGTGTTACACGAGTTAGTCTGTTACTCACTTGGTGGGGATGACAGACTGACGTTCTTTTGATCTCGCCAAACACTTAGGCTGCAGGAGTTCCAGATCAGAAATTCCTTTGTATGGCTGCACCAGCATCCCTCCTACTGGCTAATACTGTGCTGATTTCACCTCAAAAAGCCAAGGGCAAAGGGGAGAGGGACATCTGTTCTCACACATGACTAGGCTTCTGCAACTGTTTCTTTTTCAGCCCCCTCTTGTTGCATTCTGGGCTGTTTGGTGCTATAGCTGCCATTTAGTGTTTTGTGAGCAACCGTATTTTGCAGAGGTTTATAACTTAGCATGTTGGTGGTGGTGGGGAGTTTAAAATTAAAAAATACAATTGAGGTTGAAACAATGATAACCTGAAGCAAACTCATTCAGGTTTTTGCAAAGGTGCTTTTAGATGAGTGAAATGAACAGTTAGTCCCCACCAGATATTACTTAGGCAGAGAAGAGACTCAGAAGATTTTTCTTCTGAGAAGTGCCACTTGCAAACCTGCTCTAAACACTTTTTATAAGGCTGTGTTCTGTATCTCCAGCTGCATTGTAACCCTCTCAATGTGTATTTGCAGCATGTTTAACACTATAGAGGGCTGAAATGTTGATCGACGAATTTGCACATCAGAAACATCAAAAGTTTTCAGGTTGAGAAGTTTGCAGGATCAGACACAAGGCGGCACTGATTGTCAGTGTAAAATTGGTAGTATTCTGTCTCTAGGGAACTAGATATTATTCCCTGACTGATTTTCTTTGTTGCATGAGTCTCTCACAATCTTAATGTAGCGATCAAAGGGTTTTAGGAAAAAATGGAAAGAGAACTGACTGTTGCCAAAACAATTATCTGGAAACTTTTAAAAAAGTAAACTCAGTTGCATTCATTAACTTTCATAGAGCTTAAAGACAGGGAAAAAGGCTTTTAAGGAATATGCAGGGTTTGAAAACTAAAGAATATTAGGAGTGACACTTCAGTACTTTTAGGGGAAACTGGGTATAATCAGAAAAGTACCTCTAAAAATAGCACCACCTTACCCAACCTACTGTGTGAGAGCTCCATGGCTATACCCTGTCACTTTGGGTACATCTTCACTTACCGGAGGGTCCGGCGGCAGGCAGTCGATGTTCTGGGATCGATTTATCGCGTCTGGTTAAGTGCTCGCCGTCGACGCCGGTACTCCAGCTCGCCGAGAGGAGTACGCAGCGTCGACGGGGGAGCCTTCCTGCCGTGTCTGGACCCGCGGTAAGTTCGGACTAAGGTACTTCGAATTCAGCTACGTTATTAATGTAGCTGAATTTGCGTACCTTAGTCCGAAGTGGGGGCTTAGTGGGGACCAGGCCTTTGACTCTTATTGGCCCAGCAGAGTTAAATAGGGGAGAGTGAGCTAGATTCTGTTTTGCTTCAGGCACTAATCAGTGGAAGTTCAGATTCCGAATCTTCATTACTGGTGGTGTCAGTAATAGTAGTAGAAAGGAGCCCAGCTTGACCTCTTCTCAGATCCATATATGAGATTGCAAAAGAGGCAGTTTATATTTATAATAAAAAATCCTGTCTGTACTCCAATCCTGCAAATATTACACAGGTGCTTAACTTTAAATATGTGAATAATGCCATTGATGCATGTGTACAAAAATGTGCAGGTTTGTGGCATTGATTCATAATCTAATCAGATTTGATAAGCAACTGAGAATAAATAGGGAAGCTACAATCTCTTTTCTGATCACAGTTCTGGCTATATTTGCACTTTAACAATCTGCAACAGGATTTCTGGGTAGCAGGCTGGGATCCTGTTTGCCTTTGAGAGAGGCTGTCCATTGCAACTGCTGTCCTATTGACTATATTCTTGGTTGTGAGCTTGGTTTTGTGAATTTAATTTTTAGGTGGTGACCATCTATTGGAGGAGTGTAAATACATTAATGTCAAATTATGAGATGCCATAAAATACTGCAGATGTGGAAAATTCAGTGTTGTGGCTATCAAATAAATATTTTGTAGACTGATTTTTTTTTTGAGTAATGTAGATTCTGCGTTTACTACTTGACAATTAGTTTTACAGTGCATATTTATTTACTGCTTGGAGGGGAAGGGGAAAACTAATTTAAAATCACTGATTTACTTTAATACATTAAAAATGCTCCCTGCCTCTGAAGAGTTTGTTCTACCCAATTATAAGGGTTTGTAATGGAAACAGACATCTTATGCTATTCTATACTGTCTGTTATAAGATGCTTTTCTTGCCTTTAAATATACCAGTACCTTGAATAACTCTACATGAGTTTTGTACTGGGACTTGATTGCTCATCTGTGTGTGATTGCAGCCCTGGTCAGGTGATTTGTTTAGGATTGAACCTGTGACCTCTGGATTTAAAAGCATGAGCCCCAACTCCTTTCTCTATTGGCAAAAGGTCTATTGGCTTGAATGTAGTGGGAGACACAAACCTCTTAACATGGTCTGGGCTACTAGAGAAGGACAAAGACCTGCACTAAGCTAATGTCGGTTAAATCGGAGTTGTTTAACCATTAGGTGAATTTTATTGTTGGTTTATCTTGCGAAACAGGAAAAAACAGAATTGGGGAAATGAGTTCTACTAAAGTTCTCCCCCTAAAGTATGGCTACTCTGGGCCTCTTACCTATCCTAAAACATTGTTCAGATGGTCAGGAATAAGATTCTTTTTTATATCCTTTAACTTCTCTAACCTGCCGATCTAATTACATAATGTCTGAGCAAAATGTAATAAATGTGGTGCTATGGTAATGGCTGTCCATAAGCAGGCTGGAAAGAACAACTTGTCAAGATAAATTTCCCTACTGAATTCACCTGAAAGCTATTACAGATTGTAGCAAAAGTAAGGCATGTCTGCTAATGGAAAACCCCTAACACTGCTTGTGCAATTCTCCAATGTCCTGCTCTACATTTGAAAAGGCTGTTAAAAGATATGAAAAGGAGGGGGCACCTGACTGGAAGTGATGCATTAACAGGTTTCATATGTGAAGGAATCTGTTCAGAAATGATATTTTTTTTCAGTTAGCTTCTTTTATCCCTGTGGAGCTTAAAGCACTCTACAAAGTATGAGACTTTTTATTGTCACAAATCTGGCAGTTGCGGTTGTGAAATGCACCATCTATTTAAGAGTGTGCAGACATTTAGGCTAGATAATCCTAAAACAGCTGAGGGAATTCAGCAAGACAAATAGTTGCCCAAATCTGAGCTGAATCCTAGATGTAGACTGTAGAGCCTAAAAAAGCAGTATTGTCACCTCTGAAAGATGGTACTTTCAGCACCATAGTCTTTCTCCCCACCATCGTGGGGAATTGGTCTCTGTACTGAATCAGTGCAAAAATACCACCACCTCAACCATCAGCTCTACTTCAAGCAGCATGAGTCTTCTCTTGATGAGGTTTTTCAATCTATGTACTAACTGGCCCACTTGCATCTGATGAAAGCTCAAGACCCTGAGGTTATACAGGCCTGGGTTTCATGAACAATGCTCTTTTGTTTTAAGAAAGTGTTATGGACTTACATACAGATATTTTTTATTATAGCAATTATGTACATTAAATTACAAAATATACCATTCAAATTCTGTTATATAACTGAACAATGTATGTCTTTGTACAAGAAACTTCTTGTGCATCTTTTAAGTTTAGTTTGTTGTATTGGATTATTCAGGGCTCCTTTACTAAACAGCATCTTCTATTTAAAATGGCATTGGATATGGAGGACCTTAGTGCTGTTGCTTCAGCACTTGGATGCCTCAGATATGCCTGGTTCCCACACCTAGCACTACAGTCCTTCCCAGCAGCTTCCCCTGCTCTTCCAGTGAGCTGTAAATCCCCAGCTCCAGCAATGCCTGATACATTTGTAGGCGGCTCTAGCCAACTGTTGCATTCTGTGAGAACTTGTGATGTATACAAACCTTCACAAAAACCACTCAGCTGCTGTTTAGTTTGCTTGAGCCTAGATTTACAAAAATAAAACTTATGAGCTTCCTACCCCCTGTGCAAATGACACTACCTGTGCCAAGGGGAGAGATTCTACACCTAAGCACTACAGTGGCACAGCTGTAGCGTTTCAACTGTAGACAAGCTCTGAGAACTGCTTAAAACAAGGAATCCATGTGAATTAACAAAAGCAACTCTAGTAAGTGACTGGCTTCTCTGGAAAGGGTTAAATACATGTACAGTCACAAAATTGGTGGCACAATAAGCTGGTTGTTTCTCCTTTGGAGATGTCTTACTATTGTTTAATGATTCATCTTAAGGGTGAGTTTTAACTGTGGCTAACTTCTTTCAGAGGCCGTGGTAATCATCACCCTGTTCATTGCTGTTTCTCAGTGAGCCAATCCCCATTTTAGCTTGATCCTGCTGTAGTATAGTTAAATCATGCATTGGGTTAGCCTCAGAAAAGGACAATTCATGTTCTTGGACATCCAGTACTACCCCTCAGACCTTGTCCATTCTTGTGAGGTTGGAAGGGAATGAGGGATGTAGCAGAGGTAGAGTGCCAGAAATGGTAGAGTGGGCCAGTAGCAGTTTTGTAGGTGGATGGAGCAAAAGGAAAGTTCTCGTCCCCTCAAGCTGGCACAGTTCCAGTACCTCTTACAGCAGTACCTGGTTATACAGTAATTCTTCCTCTTACTGGAAAGTGCACACAACAGTGCTCTTTGAAGTACACCTGTCTCCTTTTGGTGCTACTTAGTCATAAAACCCTATTATGCAAGAGTTCTAGAGCTTCTGTATGATGCTAATGTTAGACCCACAATAGAGGTCTCCCTATGGGATGGGGAGCAAGCAGATACCAGACACAGAGTTGGTATATAATACTCTAAATGCTCTTCAGTGATTACAAAACTAATCTTTACTCACTCCACATTCACACCCCAAACACACTATAACAGAGAGCAAAGGTCAGAATAGTCCCAAGGGCTAGTCAAGGTTCCTTCCATCAGGATAAAATCATAAGATGGGGGTAGCCGGCAAAACCACATCTATATCCATACAGGACTCTGGATCAATAAATGACTCCGATTTGCAGAAATCGTAGGCATCCACTTATAATCCATTCCGTTGCGTCATCTGTTCTTTGCCTTTGTTTACTAGGCCTTCTACCCGCACAATTCCAAAGAGACAATCTTGGGCAGAATGCCATGATCCAAGGCATGCCATTTCCTCCAATTCTTATACAATTTTACATCCACTGTTTCTTTTTTTTTTGATGACTCTCTGTATTTTTCTCAGAACATAAGATTGTTTTTGCACAGAGTTGTAATAGACCTTCACCTTAAGTCCTTGCTTCAGTTGCTAACTTGAAATGCATGCATTCATGTCAAGCACATGTCATTAATGCCAGGCCTCAATGACCTATAACATTACATGGATATATATGCATCAATCTCTCTCATCTCGTAACACTAACAGTCCTCATCCCTGTTGTATAGTGGGATCACAAACACAGAGATGTCATCGTAGGATGCCAGGCTGTTGCCATCCAAAATCCACTGATGGCCATTCTTCTTCCCCCTTGCCGTGTGCACCAGGCACCTGGCCAGTTCTGAAAACCTGCAACAAGAAAACCAGGTTAGTTTGGGTTTATCATGGATCTCTCTCTCAAGGACTTAATACATGGCACTGCCATTGTTCAAAGCATGACCTGGAGCCTGACTGACACCCTCTTATCACCCCCCATAAAGGAGGCATCGTCATCCCCATTTCACTGAGGGACAAATAGAAGTGATGGCTTTCCCCAGCCCCCCAAAGGTCTTCCAACACAGAGGTAGAAGTTAGGTGCTTTTAGCTCCCATACTTTTGCTCAGACCAACCCACTCTGTCTCATGTCACTGGGACCACAAATGATGTGTGACAGGGCATGGCCAGATGGCTATAGGAAAGTAGTGAGAAACAGGTATGTTAGCCCCAGGCTAAACAAACCCCTGTTACCATGGTAATCAAATGGCAGTTGCTTCAGGTTAATCAAGACACCTGGAGCTAATTAAGATCCTTCCAGAAAGCAGTGGCGACAGCTAGGTTGATTGGGACACCTGAAGCCAATCAGGGGCTGGCTGAAACTAGTTAAAAACCTCCCAGTTAGTCAGGTGGGCACGCATGTCAGGAGCTGTAGGAGGAAGTCACGCTGTTGGAGAGACTGAGCAGTACACACTATATCAGGCACAAAGAAGGGGCCCTGAGGTACGGGTAAAGTGGAGCTTGAGGAAGTGGGGGCTGCTGTGGGGAAGTAGCCCAGGGAATTGTACGCATCCTGTTTCTAAAAGATCAGGTACCATAGTTGATACTATCAGGGTCCCTGGGCTGGAGCCCGGACTCTCCCATATCCCCCCCCCCGATTAATCACTGAGACTGGGAGACAACAGAGAGCGTGCAAGGGAGGATAGCTTCTCCTCACCTACCTCGCTGGCTTATGATGAAAATGTCTCAGTAGGCTGTGACCCTTGCCTCTAGAGAGAGAGGGGCTATGTGGAGGGTCACAGTGAGCCTCTGAGGCTAGCGAAATCCATCAGGAAACGTGGGACCCACGGAGACAAGGACAGAGCTTTGTCACAGATGCTAATAATAATTATAAAGGAGGGAGGTCAGTATCATCCCCATTTTACAGATGAGAAAACTGAGGCACAAAGTGGTGACATGACTTGCCCAAGGTCAGTCAGTAAGCCACTGACTGAGCCAGGAATCCCTAGGTCCCCTGGTTCCAGGCCCATGCTCTGTCCATTGAGCCATGCTACCTCCCCATGTATCTACATCGACAGTCTCCAATAGCATGACTGGTCCATGGGCTTGGGAATAAGCGAGTTTGGATGGCTACAGGAATGCTGATTAACATCTGACCAGACTACACTGGCTGATGGTACAGCAGGGCCACAATGTTCCATAAGAGAGTGGGAGGATAAGCCAATGTGGTTTGAGTACAGCAGCTAATGCTCTAGGAATTGAATTTAACACACAGGGGCAAGACATGTTAGCCAGAGAGTGGAGTGATTTGTGACTTCACAAAACTGTCTTCACTGTGAACATGAGCAGTCCCACAGCCAAAGCAGGGGGAGAGAGAGGGCCTCTCTCATCTCCATGCCAGCTCCATGGGGTAGTAACAGCTAGAAAAGTTCAGTACTACCTGTATGGGTCTGTTTTGTTTTCATCAAGAAAGCTCCTGACAATCTGGGCCATCTCTTCATTGGACAGAATGTCCCAAAGGCCATCAGTTGCCAGGACAAGGACATCATCTTCTTTAATGTTACACGAAGCAAAGTCAAACACTTTCACCTAGAGAACAGTTAGTAATTTACTTAGGTTTCCCCCATCAGTTCTAGTACATAGCAAATGGTATTCTTAATGTTTCCTCTAGTATGTTTGGCCTCAAAAATGTAAGTAAATCCTATCTTTCTTTGATTTCCCTGTTTAAGGGTGGTCATGCTTAATGAACCTCTTAAAGGCACGTGGCTAAGGGTTGTCCATGAAGGTGGGCCTATTCTGCCATAGTCAGTAAGCCTGAAGAGCATTTGAATCCCAAACTAAATAGGTCATCATTGTTTATAACAAGCTGGGGCACTAGCACCACTCTAGTGGATTGTTATAAAAGGCTGGTGACTGCACCATTGAACGGGTAAGCTTAGAATGAGCAAGGGGTTGCTCCTCTGAAAGAATCCTGGGCTATGAAAACATGTGAAATATACGTGAAACTTTCCCTATCCCTGTCCTCTCTGCCCCAGCCTGTGCTGTTGGATTAATACCACCCACTGGAAGCTGTGCAGTATGCAAACCAATACCAAGTTAGGCTGAGTCCTGCTGCTTCACAAAGGAGGTTCCATGACCCAGTTCTGCTAAAGTGGGATCCCTAGTTCTGGCAGCTGGACTCTTATGTTCACTATCACAATCCTCACTTCCCCTTTGTCACTTACCTGGGGGATGCAGGAGAGGAATGGTTTAACTTCAATGTCTGTGTCAATAACTTTCAGCTGATGATCCCCCAGCCCTCGCGATACAGCCAGGGTCCCCAGCAAGCGCGTCTGGAATGGAACAAAGCCGTGTGTCAGAGCAACCCAGAACTCAGTGCTCTGAAGGAGTTCTGTGACTCTGGGTGTTAGTGCCTCTTCTCAGGCAGAACTGCATAAAGGCCACAGGCCATGCCGCTTGGCACAGAGCATGGGACTGACGGGAGAGAAAAGAACCCTTGAGACAGAGTCTGATTCTGCCTGGTCCAATATGAGCAAAAAGTCAGAGGGGCCAAATGCCTGTGGAATGTTTTCATTGACATGAATACACCTATCCACTAGATCTTGGTTTGGACCAAAGGTCATGGGTTGCTATGGAGATTCGGTCTGCAGGAGGTGGGGCTGGGTTCAGGGCTCTTCTTCAGGCCTAGGGAAGCCTGTAGCTGCAACTTCCTTTGATTTTTGGGGAACAACAAAGGTAAAGGAGATTCTCAGCTTTTACTTGCAAAGGCAGGTTCTAGTCCTGTTCCTTCTGGAGAGCCTTGCAAATATAAAGCAACGTAAGCCACTGCAAGGGACTAGCAGCTGGACTGCTATAGCTGGAGTGACAAAGTCCCACCCTGAGATGCATGCACTTGCTACGCACAATGGTGGCCACACAAAGAATCCTGATACTCCCCTGAATACCTAGGCCCCCATGCACAGTGAGGTGATCATGGTGGATGACAGGAATCAGTTCTGTTTGGAGGCAGGGGCAGCAAGACACTTGTGTAGCCCTGCCTCAAAGTGTTAATGCTGGCTCTGGATGTGCTTGTGTGTGAAGGTCAATGCTGAAAATGGTTTCCCAGTTAATGTAGGAAGATAGGAAGTCCCAGGCTGGACCTGACCTATGGTCCATCTAGTCCAATGTCCTGTCTCTGAAAGGGGCCAGCAGCAGATGCTTCAGATGAAGGTGTAAGAACTACACACACAGGTCTCCTCCTGCTCTCTAATAGAGGCAGGTATAAACCCTGAAGCAGGATGTTTAATATCCCTTCCAAAAGTTTGGCTGTCATTAATTGTAACTCTAGGTAGTCTTGATATCCACATAACTATCCTCTCCCTCTTTGAATCGTGTTTAGTTCTTGGCCTCCGGGCAACGCCATGCCCCCAGCAGGGATTAGAAAGCACTGCCCATTTGCAATGCAGGCTGATGAGGCTTACTGGCTGCTCTGTGTTTGGGGGATTGGGCTGCAGGGGGAGCCATGGTAGTGTCTGATGTGGAAGGGTCTCAAGAGCTTCTCTCTGTATGGGATGAAGAGACCATGTAGGTCAGCTACTCCAGGGCCAAGCCCCACAGCATTACTTATAACTAAATTAAAGAAGGGGTGCTGAGCCGCTGTTGCTGTCTTGACAGGCATAGCTCTGTAAGGCTCTTGCCCTCTCAGTGGGTAGGGGGTCTGTAGCAAATTCAGTTACCTGCTTCCCATGGCCATGGATAAGAGGGTACTTGAGGTCAGCTTTCTCCACTGTCTTGTATCCCCTAGAATAAATATATGTCATCAGCTAGCATTTCATTTACTTAAAGGCTTTTCTGTGGGGCCCATCACCCAGTGTGTAAGCCTCTCAACAACAGTGAACTTGTCCTCACAACACTGCCTGTGACACAGGCACAGAGACTAAGTGATGCACCTGAGCTTACACAAGGACTCTGACAAAGCTGGGATTTGACCCCAGCTCTCTTGAGGCTTGGTCCAGTTCCTGAGTGACAAGACCAGACCCTTCCCCTCTCACTTCTCACCGTCTGTACCCCTGCTTGTGCACCAAGACTGGGCTTCCTGGCCATATACCTAGAGAGATGAGGTGCAGAAGGGCTTTTATGCTGTAGACCGTCACGTCTCTGTCCTGAGCCCATCGTTGCCCTTCCTCGTAGATAGACAAGAACAGGTGGCTTGCTAATGGCTGGCAAGCAGCCTCCTGTGAGACAACAGTTTCCCTGGGCAGTGCTGAACTCAGGTGTGTCTCTCTATCCTTACTGCTTGCACTGCATGTGGCCAGTACAAACACACCAACCTACTCTGTGCAAGGAAAGGGGCTGGGGGAAGGAATGTGGGAATCACCTGTCCATAAGCATTTTGCACTGGTTGCCATCTGACAGCTATGCAGTGACAAAACAAATTGGTGGCTAGGATTCTGCCTCACTCAAGTCTCCCTTGTTGGCACTTGCAGTAGAGGAGTCCAGAATTTAATGTAAACTCCCTCCTCAAGGCGAGTTGCCCCTGGGCAGATGTTGAGGCCCATTGGCAGAGCAGCTTGCACTGTTGTGGTGGAGAGAGGACGTCAGGCTCTAGGGTATCAGTCCAACTCCTGTCACCAGTGCTAAATTCACTTGTCCCCTCACAAGCAGCATTCAGGATCAGAGGGTTCGTGCCAGCACCTCCCCTTTCTTTGCACCACACCTCCTCGCTTCCAAAAGTGAGCTCACAGAGACACCCAGGGAAGGGAGTGCAATTATAAGGGTATCTCTACATGTCGGAGACTCACCATCCAGCCATGGAGTAATCCCGATAGAGGACCTTCCGGCCTACGTCGTTGCCTTTCAGTCTCCTAGGAAACTCAAACCGGGTGAACTCCTCTGCCAGGAGCTTGGGGCAGAGAAAGGCCTAGAGAAGTAATCAAAACGGAATAGTCGTCTCAAGGGTTAAGGACGACATTCGCCCCGGACTCGTGGATGGAGCCCAGGGCTGGAAGTCAGCAGTGGGGTTGTGCTCTGTTCCTTGCTCTGTTGCTGACGTGCAGTATGATTTTAGACAAGTCTCATCATCGTTCGGTGCCTCAGTTTCCCCATCAGTAGAACAGGAATAATGACACTTAAGCTTAAGATGCTTGAAATCTACATATGGAATATGCGATGTAAGAGCTAAGTAGTGGTATTATTCGCCAGGATCTGCTGTAGCTCAGCCATCATTACTCCTTCTTGGGGGCTGTAGAGCCTGGACTTGATCCCCTTACCTTCCAGTATGGCATTTACTATTGCTGAAGTGCAAGCTGATAGAACCTGTATTTTCTGAGCTCCATTTACCACCCACTCAAGCTGGTGTTAGGGGGTGGTCTCCTTAATTTGGCCATACTGCATTTACCAGTTCCCCAGCACTGAAGAGGCAGTGCACCACAAATGATGCTCTTGACAGCCTGGACAAGATCCATGATGTTAGGAGGAGCTTTGATGCTGGGGGCACTGACTAGGCAGTGGCTGATGAAGGGCACATGCTCACCTGTACAATCTCGCAGGAACACACATTCATCATTACAATACATGCAGGCAGCTAAAAGAAGGCACCACTCACCAGCTGCTGGATTCTCTGCCGCTCTGTCTCTGGGGTGAACTCACTGCTCAGGGGCACGACGCTCTGTTTCTGAACAAGGATCGCCCTGCATGGAAAAGAGAGGAGGTTCTAAGCCTATAGCCATCAGGAAAATGCTCTCTTACCTTGAATTTAATCTTCGTTTACAGTACTCCTCCTCTGAGTCAGTAACTGCAGTACAGTCGCTCTCTGCTCCCTCCTTCCTTATATCCCTATTGAGTGTTTTGTTCCCTGAGGTCAGGTACACACCAAAACACCTGGGGCCCAATTCATCACTGGTGTCAGAAAGTGAAAGTCCAGTGAGGTCAAAGTTACACCAGGAATGAATTTGGTGTATGGGCAGATGAACACAGCTGGCCTTATTCAGTGTTGATGTAACTTCCATAATTGCATTCTTACACCAGAGCAGAGTTTGGCCTGGTCAGTTTAAGAATGACACAACTTTGTTGGAGGAAGCAATGGACTCACAACTGATGAGGAGACTCTAAAATCCTCCTCTGCTCTGTATTTGAATGCACCCACAGGCCAGGATCAGGAAGAAGGGACATATACAATGCTTGTGTCATACTGGCCCAGCTGGAAGTGGTATTAGCTGCAGCTTAATGGATCTAGAACCAACAAAGCCATTGGGGCCCCTTAGCTTGGTAGCTCCTTTCATGTTCAATAGCTCAATGCTATCTGCACATTGCCAGTTAGAAATAGCCCTGCCTGCCTGCCTGTCTGTAAACCTGTTACATTGTGGATGCAAGGGAATTCTGTAGGGGCTGCACACTGCCTGAAGGAATATATCTTACCCATTGAGCCATATCCATGTGCTCAGCACCCCGTAAGCCAGCATGCTGTACCCACTCACTGAGCCTCCTGCAAAATCCACCATGAGCTGGGTGGGGTCTGAACTCACCTGCTGTCCCCAGCATTAGCCACATAGAGCTTTCCCTGTAGGTAGAGGGCAGCCAAAGCAGTGCAGCCGCCTGACTGATTACAAGCTTCCATCTCTTGACCAATCACTTCATCCTGTTGGTGTGAACAACTCCAGTTAGTGACTGATCTGTGGCAGTATAGCTCTCAGGAAGGGCAATAGACTAAATCCAGGATGGTGACTACAGAACTGATAAAACGATAGTGGGGAATGGAGATATTGCTCTGGCTGCCAGAGCATCGCAGGACCCAAGTACGTGACAGATCTTAGAACCGTTGGACGCCAGAGTGTGTTGTAGCAGGTTGAAGGGAAGATTTTCAAAGTTAGGCTCCCAATTCCTATCTCATAGAACTGGAAGGGACCCCGAAAGGTCATCAAGTCCAGCCCCCTGCCTTCACTAGCAGGACCAAGTACTGATTTTGCCCCAGATCCCTAAGTGGCCCCCTCAAGGATTGAACTCACAACCCTGGGTTTAGCAGGCCAATGCTAAAGTCCATGGGAGTTGGGCACCTATCTCCTCTATACCCTTGAATATCTCCCCTTAACTTCCCAACAGAGGCCAACTGAGGGCTTGTCAATATGTGCAGTTGCACTAGTTTAGGCAGGATGTACACAGATTAAGTTAACCCAGTGAAAACGGTTGTGTGGACACACAGTCTAGTCGGGTCTGGACCAGGTTTATTTCAGTTTAGTTTATGTCAATTAGGATCAGGCTTAAGCTAAACTACAATAAGCTGCTCTTAAACCAAACTAAGAGTGTGGATACAGGGGTTGCCTAAACCACTGCGTGTTTGGGTGGCATTAGAGAGATCAATCAAGAGGGGAGGTGTTTGGCCCTGCGGGAGGCTGCAGATCCAAGTTTGGGCAGTGTGAGTGCAGACTGGTTTGTGAGACACCAGATAAGAGTTGGGCCTCGCTGTACTAGATGAGGAGAATTGTCTCACTGTCCTCCAGCAGCAGTGATGGAGGGAGAGATGGGGCCAGTCTGAGTATCACTGGGGCCTGAGCAGTTGCTTTCATTGTTTGTGGCCATCCCTGATACTGGGCCTGGGAGGAGCAGCAGTGGTGCAATTCTCTGGGTACCAACGGAAGGATCACTCACACACTCCTGGAAGGCGTTCTCCAGTGCTCCAATGACCACGTCTTCCTGCTGGATTTGCTTTTCCTCCACAAACTGGGGGTCGCTGGGGCAAATGCAGCAGCCACTCAGATGCATGGGGGGCTGAGCTTCAGTGATGCCTTCCACCACCTCCTCCAGCTTCTGCTTGATGCAGTAATGCAAGTAGTTGGAGGCGATTATTGCTGCGTCTGGGCCACCGTGGCCATCAAACAGGGCCCAGTAATAACCAACCAGATACTAGTGGGAGAAGAAGAGTGAAGGTGAGAGGGGTTCTGTGCAGGTAGCAGGAGCACAGCCTGGAACTTTTGACGACAGGTTTTATATATACACCTCTACCCCCAATATAACGCTGTCCTCGGGAGCCAAAAAATCTTACCGCGTTATAGGTGAAACTGCGTTACATCGAACTTGCTTTGATCCGCCGGAGCGCGCAGCCCCGCCCCCCCGGAGCGCTGCTTTACTGCGTTATATCCGAATTCGTGTTATATCGGGTCGCGCTATATCACCGTAGAGGTGTACATATATATGTGTCCGGCCAGCATGGCATATACATAACCCCTGTGGCTTTTTCAGATTCACTAGCACATCATTTGGCCTCCCCAACATACAGACTGTGCTGAGCCCTGGGAAGTTTTCTGAACATTCTTGTTTTACTCCTGGCACAGAATCGCGGTGGTGCTCTGCAGGGATAATGCTGAGTTCATGCCTCCTGTAGTCTTTCATGGGAAATTCAGGACGTTTATTAACAAAACCAACCAACAAAACCATTAATGCTCTCACTGCATGGCTAAAAACCATGAGGCAGCATTTCTCACCCACAGCAGGAGCTGGTCATCCTTTGCCATCCACAATTGCCTTTCCCCACATGGCTACGATGCAGACACAAACAGTCCACTGACAGCAGCCCAATGATGGTAAATGACATGGCAAAACAGGTTGGAGTAGTTAATGAGAGCCCACATAGTTAGGGATATCAAGGATATTTGTTTACTAGCAACTGGCCACATGACGGCAATGGGATATACACTGAGAACAGCTTGTCTCCCTCAATGGGACTCTTGAAAGGCAGCAGCAGGTAGACTCATACCATCTGTATGGTCAGAGCAGGTGGGCCTCGCACCGTCTAGATGGCCAGAGATGGTGGAACCTATACTATGTGACCTGTGGCTGCTTCCACCCCAGGGCACTGCCGTGCTTCTTCAGATATCCTCTTTCAGTGCCTAATCCAAAACCCACAGAAGGGAAGGCTTTCCATTGCTTCCCATGGGGATTGGAACAGGCCCCCCGAGCCGATCCCCAAGGCAAGGGTGCTCATCATCCAAACAGATGCGTATGAAGGATCAGACAACTCAGCTAGGTTCCATGGTGAGTGGGGAACTAGACATACATCCATACATGTGATACAGGTAGATTTGACAGAACATATGGAATCACCTGATTGGAGCAAAGAATCAACCAGTCCTGCTCCTCCTCCATGCCTATCTCCCTCCTCCTGACAGATATCTGACAGCATGTTGCCTGGTCCTCATTGAATTCCGATTTCTCTGCATTGATGACTCTGTGGAGACAGACACTCCAATTAACTGGGAAATTACATACATACCTGGCATTATGCGAGGTCCAAGACACTTGTGTAAAGAGCCTCTGGGGAATATTATAGTATTGCTGTGTTGCCAACTCTTGTGATTTTATCATGAGTCTGATGGCATTTGGTGTTCTTCGACCTCTCGAGGTCCCTTCCAGTCCTACAGTCTATGAATCTATGAACCCCAGCTCCTGGAGTCATGGGATTGTGAGAATCTCAGCTTGTTTTTTTTTTTTAAACTATATTTCTGGCCCTCCTGGCTGCAGAGAAAAACTGGGAAACATGACCCCCAATGGCTCAACTGCCAGAAGGCAAATACAAAGAACCCAACACTTAGCTTTTTAAAGTCAGTCTCATGTTTTGGGGGACAGTGAATCATGATTCTGAAATGCTTTGTGAAGCACACAAGGGCAAGTCAATTCTAGGGATGGCTCTCCTAGGAGTCTGAGCAAATACAGAAAACTAATTACCAGGAAGAGCCCCAAGTCATTTATTGGAGATGGAGATGTCCCAGGCATTAGGAGTCAGTGATGTCAGTCATTGCATACAGTCACTGCCCTTTTTGCTAGTGCAGCTGTGTACATAGATGGTGGTTCCAGTATCCATTCTGATGCAAAGCCTGAATGGCTATATGTATAATAATAGTACTTTGCAATTCTCTAGCACCCTCCATTCAAGATTCCAAAATGCTTTATAAACATTCAGTGAGTTTAGCTTCACAGTCCCACCTCAGAGGTGTGTGTATCATTAGATACACACACACACACCCCTTTACAGATGGGGAAACTGAGGCACGGAAAGGTTAAGGCCTCCATTTCCAAAGGTGTCCACTGATTTTCGGGTGCCCCACTTGAGATCCATAAGGCCTGACTTTCAGGGATCCTGAACACCCCCAGCTCTCTTTAAAGTCAGTTGCAATTGTGGGCGCTCAGCACCTCTAAAAACCAGTTCACAGTGTCTCAAGTTGGCCACCCAAAACCAGAGGCACCCAAATCAGTGCAGGCTTTCGGAAACGTAGACCTTGCTCGAGGTCACCCAGCGAAGGTGGAGCAAGGAATGGAATCCAGATCTTCTGATTCCCAGTCCTGTGCTCTGACCACTAGACCATGCTTGCTCCCTTTTCAACCTCAGTCATCTCTGTGTCATATGACAGTGATCTAACAAACAGGGCCATTATGCAGGAACAAGGAAGGAGCTGAACTGGGAGGGAGAAAGCTTTTTATTAAGAGCATAAATGTCAGCAAGTGATTGGCGATACGGAAAATTATAGTGTGATAATCTATTATGTGTACAGCATGGAGTGTCTGTGTCAGAGCCTGGGCTCTCTGTGACCTTCTCCTGTTGGCTCCGGGAGCACTGGCATTTCTGGCAGGCATGGTACTAGTACCTACGCCAGGACTTGTACTGTGTCTATGTCCCTGCATGATCTTTGTTGTTGCTTGCATCTGTCCCAGTGTGCCTTCTTTTAAAGGCCTCTCTCTCTCCATGTTCTGGCTGGTATTCACATCCTAACACCAACAGGGCCAGACCCGTGCTTTTGCTACACTGCCTTGCACCACTCTGGCAGTACTAAGCAGCTGTAATGCCAGTATAAATGACCCCCAAAGGGTTCCCTGGGTGGTGCAGAGCTGTTCGTGTTGAGCACCAAGATGAACCCTATCAGGTAAGGATTTTGAGACTGTTTTTGTAAGTTGCTCTGCACTGCCACGGGAACATGTGGCCCAACAATAAAGCCCAGTAGAGTCGCAGGACAGGACTACTGGAGTCTCATCGTCTTGAGCTGTCCAGCCAGTCTTACTGCTTTTAAACCCTTATTGCTCTTCTACAGAGTGGAACAGGCAGTCATTACCATCCAGACGCTTCAGGCCTGATTCTCTGCTTACGCCTGGCACAGCAGAGGGGGAGATGGCAAGGAGCCAGTACACACCCTTGATTTTTAGCTCTGGTCCCGGCTCCGGCACATTTTAGAGCTGCCTGGGAGCTGCTCTGAATTATGTCAGTTGGCTGGCGCCCTAAGAAGCTTTGTGCTCCAGCCATTCCCCTTATCTGCCCAAGACATATACCTCCCCACCCCAAACATGCCCCCTACTCTGAGAAAGTAGTTCTCAGGAGCCAGTTCCACCAGCTTGTCACCTGCTGGGGACTCAGCCCACACCAGGGGAAGCAAGGGAGGTTTCCACTCCCGTTGCACTGTAAGTAGGCCAGAGAACTTGGCCCTTTCTTGGCCAGGGATGAAGTGAACAGCTTCTGCAACCAGCAGTATTGTTAACCCTAAAAAGCAGCCAAAGTCCAAAGTCGCTTTGCTCTTCTCCAGGGGGCTGATCTAGTCCTGGCTGGCACAGCGAGCACCTCATTGATTTATTTCCTCAAGTTGGCATCTGCATGATTAGAATTCTTCTGCTGTTTTCCTTGGAGCAAAGAACTAATGTCTCCTCCTCCTGCCTGCAAGCCTGGCTGCCACAACACCACAGTGCAGCCCGGCCTGCCTGTTCCAATGCTAGGAATTACTCTGAAGAGCCTCGTTTGACCAGTTCTCTGCAGCTTTGAGGTTTCTAGTAGACCTTGTGCAACTCAATATAAACAAAGTCACCACAGAGGACGGGAGGAACATTCAAAAGGAAGGGCCAGATCCTCAACTGAAGGAAGCAGGCGTAGCTTCACTGAAGTGGTGTGGATTTACACCAAGGGATTTACACCAGCTCAGGGTTTATCTCCAAGAGTCGAAGAGTGATGACAGCACGGGAACTGAGGCTCAGGCCTGTTGGAAATGCGTGAATGAGTAAAGCTGGGGGGGATGGATCCTTCAAAGCCCACAGTGGCTCCCTCTTCATTTGAGTGCAATTGCAGGTGTGATGACATTGCTCTATGATGAGCTTGGATCCTGGCACCTGAGAGGCTGCCTGTCTCCCCATTCACCTGAGCTTGGTTTGGCTGGCTTTACAGGACACCGTTGCAAGGTGGGCTAAGCCCTTGCCTTCGCTCTTACTTACAGCCGTGGAACCTTTGCCTATAATCATGTCAAATCTCCCCAGCTAAGCAGCACTGTGTGTGGAGAGCATTTGGCTGGGAAATCTCCTGTGTGCTACACAAAGCAGTGCTACTGATTCACTAGGGGTGCTCTTCCCCACCACCCGAGCCATTGCCCCGGTACAGACTAAGGCAGAGGTGGGCAAATTACGGCCCATGGGCCACATCTGGCCCGCGGAACCGTCCTGTCTGGCCCCTGAGTTCCTGGCCCGAGAGGCTAGCCCCTGGTCCCTCCCCCACTGTTACCCCTCCCCCGCAGTCTCAGCTCGCCCTGCCACCGGCGCAATGCTGAGGCAGCGCAGCTGCAGAGCCAAGGCCTGACCCGGTGCTCTGTGCTGTGCGGCGCGGCTGCCTGTCCTGGAGCAGCCACGCCGCCAGCCACTGGTGCTCCAGGCAGCGCAGTACGGGGGTGGGGTGGGGGGGGTGGCTAGAGGGTAGGGGAGTTTGGGGGGTGGACAGGGGCCGGGGGTGTGGATAGGGGTCAGGGCAGTCAGAGGGCAGGGAACAGGGGGGTTGAAT